TATTGATTTATGGCAAAGTTTTATTCTAAATTACATGGACATTCAAAAAAGGCAGAATTGACTATTCAGAGTCGTTATCTTATTAATTTGACTACTTACGTACTTTTTTTTAAAAAAAAATTTATGTCTTATTACATATTAAAATATAATTACAACTTTTTGAGGGTAATTAATATAAAAAAAATAAAAATTTACATTACTAATTTTACTATTAATTCTATATAAATCATTATAATTAAACAATAATTAATTTTATTTTTTAATTTAAAATTTAAAACATTAAATATATTTATTTATTACATAATATATAAAAATTATATTAAAAAATTATCTTTTATAACTCCAAAATATGCTTTGTAAGAAAAAGAAACTTTTTTCCATTTTGTTAGGTACTCGTCGTACTTTGTGGTGGGCACCGGCCGGTAGTGGCATAAAGAGTGCTTGTCTTATTAGTACTTGGAGAAAAAATAGTTGAAATTGATTTTTCTTCTTTAAAAATAATGATTTTAAGCTCGTATAATTATAAAAGTATTATCTATGTGATTAGAAACTAAGAAGTTAAAAATATGAAATATATTTCTAAGGATTAGGGGATGTTTGAATTAGTAATTCAAATGCATTAAATAACAAATATTTAATATCTAGTGATAGATATTGTAACTTATAATATAAGCTATATATTCTTCTCCATCCAAGCATTAACCTCAGGTGTTTGTATTAAACACCTTAAAAATCTTACAATCAACCATCGGTGGTATGTTTGGATTTGAAGTATAATTTCAAGTATAATTCAAACACAACAAATCAGAGCCAACATGCATTAACTCTATCAAATCACAAAATCATGGGAAAAAACCAACAAGCTCATCACAAAAGTAAATAAATGTAGATAGAAGTTTGAATTTTTTTTTTTTGGCTAATTTTTTGGTATCTAAATGTTACATTAGACCCAATTAATTTAAAATTCAATTAGGTAAGATCTCATAAAAGAGAAAATCTTTCAACATTTATTTTTTCATTCATAATACTCGAACTCGAGATTTTATTAAAAAAACCGAGTTAACCAAATTATTTTTACTCAAACCAATAAATCATTGGTAATTTGAATCTTTTATAGTAGCATTAATTTTATAATTAAAAATTTTAAAGTATTTATAATTCATACCCCTT